GAGGTCTGTCTATCTGTGGGTGATTGACTGACGCGATGTGCCTTCCTGCCTGGCCCGCTCGGTGATGGGTGTGTGTTGGTTGGTTCGAGCAGGCTGGCTGGCCCACAATCGTCGTCAGTTATTTTTGGGCCTATCTATGATCAGCTGTCTATGACACTGCAGTGAGGAGAGAGAGAGGAGAGTGCCTCCTTTCCCTCTTGCAATCCAAGATTGACAAGTAGGAGGGGGCGGGGAGGGAGGGAGGGACGGAGGCCAGGTGGGTGGGTGGGAGATCAACGTGACATGGACACGCCAGCCTGCCCATACGTCCGTCTCGACCTGGCCACCCATCCATCGATCTGTTCGTTGGCCCTGACGTGACGTGTAGATGAATGAATTGATGACAGACAGGTGGTTGGCTCTGCTGGTCTGTCCGTCCCCGCGTGTGTGTGTGTGCGTGTGCGTGTCGGACTGTGTGTGTCGATGAAAGAGGACAGGGGGCGGGGACAGTACACACAATGGCCTGCCTGGCCTGTTGTCGGTCGGTTTTGCTGCGTACGTACGTGAGCAACTCACACATACATACCTACATACCATGACATACATGGTGGTGGATTGTATGCATGATAAGTCAGATGGATGGATGGGACAGACACAGCGACACATAGTGCGTGGTAAAGCCTTCAGTCGTGGAGTGGTTGAGTCGTACGACAAGAGCGCACAAAGTAGAGTCGCTCACTCTGTACTGACCCTACACAGCACAGCACAGCTTGTCTCGCCCACATCCATCCATCCTCTCGCCCGTTCTCACTCAGTCAGTCCCTCACTCATGTGTGTATGTGTGGCACTCGGCCCTCTCTCCTGGTCCGCTGCTTGACCGCCAGCCGCTGCCGCTCATCTGCGGTGCGATCCCAACTGCGCCGCACCGACCTATCACTCACACAATACATTAATACCCAACACCAAAGGTCAAAACAGACGTACAGCGCCTTCTGGTGCGTCCGTCCGTCGCGCGCACTCACCGTGGGTTGACCCATCCCGGTGATGTGGATGAGCTCTCGTCCGCCTCGGCCGCTGGTGCAGTGTCTGGTGGTGCATGCCGTCTGGCTGCTGCATCGGTGAGCCGCTGCAGGCCTTGGCACAACAAGTAGTCCGCTGCTGCATCCTACAGACACAGATTGATTAACAGATAAGCCCCACAAGTGAATGAGTGGAATCTGACGCATCTCTCGTTGATCCTCCCTCGCTCACCCACCTCACCTGGTGTCTGCCCATCCGATAGAAAGCGATGGCCCGCAGCGTCAGCAGCGGGGCCCTGCTGACAGAGTCAGGAGAATCCTCATCATCGTCTGGGAGGCGCCCAGCGGCCCTCACGTCGAGCATGAGGGCTCTCGTGCTGTCAGACAACGCCTGCGGCCACTGCTCGAGCAGCGCATGCACCCTTGCTCGAAGTCCAAGGGCCGTCGCCAGCAGAGACGCATCACGCAGACGGACGGCGCTGACCACACAAGATGAAAGCCGCTGATCGACACGCACACAGGCAGACAGGACAGGCGGCAGACAGACATACACACAGTTTTCCACCATTGATTGACGTACGTGTGGGGTCGCTGGATGAGTGAGTCAGTCACCTGGATGAGGTCGGCACCTATCATCTCGAGAGGCACACCACCCCCCTGCAGGTCTTTCCTGCTCCAGCCGGGCACCGTGAGCACCGCATCCGGTGACTGCAGGTGCTTGTCCTCGGGCAGGATCCACTCGCTGGTGCGGGGATGGATCTTGTCGGTTGGGTGCAGCAACACCTCCAGAGCTGATGACGACAGGCGAGGGGCCGACCTGCACAGATATATCAGATGACACAAGCAATGCCTTCAATGCAACGCATACCGTTAGTGCTGTGTTAGTGCCTGAGTGCGTGTGTGGGTCGCTTTGTTCCGTCACTCACCTTCTGAAATCCTTTGCTCCAGCAACCTCGACCATGGGCGAGCCGGAGCGATCTGCACGCTCTGTCGCCTCGACATAGTCCCTCCGGTTGCGGGATGGGCCGTCTGATGGCGATAAATGGGGGGTCGACTCTTCTGGCAGGTCTGTTGGGGTGGTCATTGGTTGCTGTGACGCGATGAGGCTCTCGAGAGCCGCGCGCATCTCTTCCGCCTCCTGACATCAGACAGACAGACAGACAGACGCAAAATGACTGACATGCACTTTGCAGATTAGATTGCACCTGCGGAGCCTGTATCGGGTGGGTGTGCTCCAAGGCGCGGCACGCTGCGGCGATGCCGCAGATGGCCACCTCCAGCAGGAAACGTCGCTCGCCATCACGTTGCTGTCTAGCCATATCTCCGTCCATCGCGAGAGTCTGCAGAATGGCACTTGAGTCCTCAACAGCCCCCCACATGTCACCTGAAACACAGCAGCGCCATACGCCGTGCTGCCTATTCGCCCCATCCGCCCCCGCCCCCCTCTCTGTCACGCACCTGTTTTGTATCTGCATGTCATGCGCATGGCCAGGTCCTCGCGACGGAGCCGCCCCGCAGCACTCAACGACGGCAATGCAATCAGGCGGTCCAGGAGGACAATCGCCTGTTGATGTTGATTCAGACGGCTGTGGGCTGTCGCTGCACAGAAGAGAACATCGGGGCTGTCGTGCTGGAGGTCGAGAGCACGACGAGCATGCTCAAGGGCCTCTTGTGAGGACAGACAGAGGGAGGGAGGGAGGGAGGGAAATCGCTGTTGCACTGCACCACGAGTGAGGCCTACGTGCAGAGTGCTGTTGCCATCAGTGTGGCCATCACCAGGACCAGCACTCCTTCCCCGTGTTTGTGAAGGTTTCCTGCCTCCCCTCACCTCGAACTCCTCGCAGAGAGCGAGGCTGCACAGCCTGTAGACCGCCGAAGCGAGAGACCAATTCATGCTTCCTTCCTTCCTTCACGCCTGCCTGTCTGCCTGTCTGCCTGTCTGCCTCTCGGCGCATGCAGCGTACCTTTGATAGGCTCGTGTCTTCTTGGTTGCATCACATGACGTTGTGTCGAGCGCCTTCTCGAAGGCACCCTGCGGAGAGCGACACACAACTACAATTGATGATCATTGGCCGGCGATGATGGCGGTGGCCGACTCACCCGCGCTCCACGGTAGTCATCAGCGGCCAAGAGGCAGTCTCCCTGACCCACAAAGTCATCGCAGCTATCAAACACTGCGCACAGACAGACGGACAGACAGACAGACAAGACTGACAGTGCCTCAGACAAGAGTGGATCTCCGCTTTTCTCACCGGCGAAGGCTCCATCCAGGTCCCCTTTCCGCATCATGGCCACCGCAGCCCCACTTCCCCCCTGGGCATCATCGTTGCTCGCTGCACTGCTGCTGCTGCTGCTGGTGCGATGAATGGCTCGAGGTCTGAATGGCGGAGGCAGGGGGCGCGGGAGGGGCACGAGAGCTGGCGGGAGCCGCCGCATTTTGCCAAAAACAAGCGAGAGATCCGCCAGGAAGAAACAGGAGCAAAAATACGTGTCCCGGGCTTCAGCGACATGAGCATGTGATGCCACTAAGGGCGTCATGAAACTTGCTAATCGAGTGTCCGTGTCTGTGTGTTGGACGTCACACATACGTAACACGCACATGTCTTACATGCAAGCTTCTATATCGACCAAGGCCAAGCTTAGACATCCGTCACAGCACCCGGTGCTTGTCGCACAATCGTCATCAGCTAATCTTCGCTAGCTCCTCGCTAAGAGCACGTGTGCGCTTAGGTCATCTTCTCCTCTCTTCTGGCCTGACGCACACACACACACACACACACACAGAGAGAGAGAGAGAGAGAGACACGGGCACACACATGTACATGTCTCCTCATACTCTTCCCCTCGTGTGTCCGCTCACAGTAATTATTGACGCCGCAAATGAGATTATCACAGCACTCGCTATCGTACACGCACATAGGTGGCCTGTTGTCGGCGCGCAGATCCGCAGTGCCGGGGGAATGCAAACACTTGCCGCCTGAGAAATACATACAACGACACCCACCGCCCTCTGGAGGAGACCGCTTTGTGGCTGCCCTTCTCACATTTTCTGTTGTATCTGCAGATGTCGCTTCCGCAGCAGTCGGAGTTGTGTGAGCAGTGCAGACTGTGCGCCTTTGTCTCAGCAGGAATGCAGCCTGCATGAAAGACAACGAAAGACAACCACCATACCCTCCTTGAGCTGGTTGTTTGAGGCAGGTCTCCCCCCGTCCCTCTCCTCTCCTTCTCTTACATGCTTTGGCTTTCTTGTGGATGGCATTAGGACGCTCCCCGCTGTCCCAGGATGGGAACGCAAATTCGTCGGGGCTGAGGCCGAGCGAGTTCGATGGCTGGCACACGACAAGCTGATATATGTTGAATTCGGTCAGGTCACAAACCAGGCCTGTATCCCTCTCTGCGCAGTCGTCTGGGGAGCCGCATGTCACCCCTATTTTCCCGTGGCCATCCCGGGCTGCACGAGTGCAACAAGAGTGCCCATGGCATGTCTCTTCTCTCTACGTGCTGTGAATGCTTGATCCCCACCCACCTGTTCCCCACCTGTGCAGGTGCTCCACTCCGGTACCGCAGCCTTCGTTAGTGGGTTCTCCCGATACAGATCAAACAGCACATGATTCTTGTCCAATGGCTGCCTAGCAAACGGCCAGTCCCCCCCGTCGCCTTCAGGGCAGTCACACACCGGCTTCTCATCCATGCCTTTCGACCTACACCCGAGCCCCGGCATGTGGCTGGCGTCCAAGTCGAGAGCCGTCCTGGCGCCCAATCCACAGGGCTTGTTGGAGCAGAGGTTGGGCTCACGGAAGGCGAAATGGCCCGTGGACGTCACGTGAACCTCAACGGCTTCCTTGGCGGCCTCGTCCTTCGACTCGCCCGCACCCTCCTTGGCCTCTGTGGCATCCTTGGCACCCACGGCGGTTTCCTGCGAGCCCAGGTGCTCCAGAGGCTTTGCGGCCTTTTCCAGCTCGTTGGCTGCCATCGACTCGCCCGCACCCTCCTTGGCCTCTGTGGCATCCTTGGCACCCACGGCGTTGTCCTGCGAGCCCAGGTGCTCCAGAGGCTTTGCGGCCTTTGCCAGCTCGTTGGCTGCCACGGGGGCTGAGGCGGGTGACGTAGCACTGAGAATTCGTGTTGCATTCGTGTGTTTGGCCGATGCTAGTCTTTGCACAAGTGCTGGCGTTGCATGTGATGGCTTGGGAGGTGGAAAGATGCGACCAAATGTAGTGTTGAACTGAGGAGAAGCCACATGTCGGCCAAATCTCAGGCTGAAAGCTGGAAACACGGGCGCTCCAATCCGTGGCGACTCGGTGGGCTTTGACGCCTCTTGTCGCGGCGTCAGTGCCGGAAACTGACACAGACACACAAGAGACACAGCCTGGTCTGTGCAAGTCTGGCATGTATCTTTTCTTCCGCTACTTGTTTGCCGAAGACCGCAGGTTTCCCGTCGAAGGCTGGCAGTGATGGTAGGTGGATAGTGGTCCCGTTGAAAAAGCTGCCGGGCGCTCCGCGCATGACGGCAGCGCGTGCAAAAGGTACTTCCCGTGCCTCCATCCCACCAAACGCACGAGTTGAGGTGGCGGCCATCCTGAGAGACATCGTCGGAGCCGCCTTCATGTTAGCCTGGCTCAGCGGACTGTCCGACAGATCCCCAGTTTCAGCTGCCTCGACAAATCTCCAAGCGGCGGGGTACTCCAACTCTTCGTCCTCCTCTGCATCTGCCTCGGAAAGCTGCGTGCGATAGACAGGGTCCGCCCTGGGCCCAGCTCGCTGTGTTGTGCTGTTGAAAATGAGAGCCAACGGACGTAGGACACCTGACGAACCATGACCCACTCGAGCAGTCCTGCAGAAAGGGTCGACGGAAGACGGCTGTGACACATGGATCGTCTGTTGCAGCATGGTCACGACCTCACCTGTTGTTGACCCTTCTCCGCAAGGCCGGCCTTCTTTCGTCGGTGAGAGGATGCAGATGAATCCATCCGGTGATTCTACGGGTTGACAATCCGATGGGGAGGCTTTGTAGGATGACCCACACACAGAGAGTTCTGTGGAGCATCGAAACTGGGGGAGTGGGGGCTCGTGGGGGCTCGAGACACAGTCTCCGCTTCTGTTCCCTTGCTTGCCAACTTACGTGCCAACAATGGGCTGCAGAGCCTCCAGCATCACGGCAGAAGATGATCAGCGTCGCGTGCACGACCACTTCGCTGCAATATGCGACGTTTGTAATGCTCAGTACACTCAGTCTGCGGTTTTACCATCACAGCCCGCAGTCACCGACCGAGAGATCTGGGGGGGCCCCACGAGGGCGTCGAAGCATGGCGTCGATACCTGACGAGCTGACGAGCGAGGAGACGGCTTCAAGCATCAGTTACTTATCAACACAGCCAGTCAGACAGGCAGACGATGCACGCCATGCACACCTCTCGCCCGCGCAGGCCAGCCAGCCAGCCAGCCAGTCAGTCAGTCAAGTCAGTCGAAGTCTTCGGGCCCTTCGTAGTTGTAGGGTACCCTCTCCTTCTTGGCCGCACGCTTCATCTGCTTGTACCTAGAACACGCCGCCAGCCACACGCACACCATAGATACAGACATGCACCAAAGAGTGTCCGTGTAAACTGCATGCCATGCGTGTGGGTGGGGTCGTTCGTGTGCCCGTCCCCCCGTCCCGCTGCATACACACAAACTTACTTGTTGTTATTGAGCCTGGCTTCCCTCTCTTCCTCCTCTCGCTCAGCAGTGTACTCGCCGGCCTTCTCTTTCACCCACAACTGATATGTCGATGAGGGACACACACACACACACACACACACGTCCCTTGCGGGTGTCCTGTCTGTGGCTGGGCTGCCTGTACGTCTGTCTGTCTACCTGTCTGTCGAAGGCCATGGTCCGGAACCCCTCGTCCTGAAAGCGAGCCGAATCGACACACATACAGCGAAAGGTAGGTTATCCGGGTGAGTGTCTGTCTGTCTGTGTACGATTAATACATTACTTCAAGGGTTTCCTGTGTGATGTCCTTCACGTTTTTGCATATGAGGTATTCCTTCTCGCGGTCCCCATACTCCTCGTGCATCAGAGTGAACATGACAAACCACCTGCACATTCATGGCGCATCGCAATTAATGGTTGATAACGAACACACACGCTCACACACACACACACACAGTTTCCTCCCCTCCCTCTGTGTGTGTTCGTCGGTCGTGGCCTGCCCGCCTGCCTGCCTGGTTGCCTGTTGGCTGACCTGACCTTAGTTGGAATGACACAGAGTGTACGAGTGCGATGGGCCAGGTGCACAAGACGCGGTAGAGAATCAGGCTCTTGTATGAGAAGCCCCGCAGCTGCGGGCAGGCCCCCTTGACTTCCTCCGACTCCAGCAGCTCCATCACGATCTTGGTCCTAAGCTTCTGCAAGGAAGGAAGGAAACCAACGCACACCAGGGAGGGCGGGAGGGAGATGCAGCCCGTGTGTGCGTGTGTGTTAGTCAGTCCCTCACTCACCGCTTTGTCCTCTTTCTTGACTTTCTTCTTCTCGCAGCGGCTGTTGAACTCCTCGGCCACCCTGTTCTTGAACTGCTGGGTGCGACTCACGCGCCTGAAGGAAGGAAGCAAAGCAAAGCAAAGCAAGCAAGGAAGGAAGCCAGGAAGGAGAATATGCATGCGACGAACAGCGCACCAATGCCCATGTGTGTGGTTTGTCACGGGACTGCTCACCTTCTGTACCTTTCAATCCTTGTCTTCGCTTCCTGCACGCACCCAATAGCGAGGAAGAAACCCGGATTGAACACAGTGAGACTGTCTGCCCCATCCATCCATCCACGAGTAGCTGACCACCCATATGCAGAGGTCAATCAGGAGGATAATGACGGGCGGGATCCACAGAGGGTTGACCTTCCGCATCACGGGGGCGTAGCCGACCACAGCCGCGTAGTACGAGTCGGGGTTGTCCAGGAAATAGTCGTACGCCTGCCGCCTCCCCTCATTCGACAGCACTGCGTAAGCCTGACAGACAGACAGACAGACAAACCGACGCACACACGGACAGACACACAGACACCCACACGCAGGCAGACATATAGGCCCGTTCTGCTTGGCTGCGTATCGTGTGCCCTTGGTTAGGCGCGAGGCGAGTCAGTGAGCGATTGAGTGAAATAGCGAGTGTGTGAGTGAGTGATGCACCGACATACATACATTGGCGATTTCTTTGAATTTGGCAGCGGCCTTGACCTGACTCTTGGCGTCTGGGGCCTTGTCGGGGTGATGCTTCAGCGACAGGCGGCGGTAGGTCTTCTTGATCGTCTGCGCATCCGCATCGCGAGTCACCCCTGTCAGATACACACATGCAGTGCACACGACAGACAGACACACAGCCAGCCCACCGTGACCAACCCGTTTGTATACATCTGACTGAGCTCTTGCTTATTTGCATTCGTGTGCGTGCGGACCGAGTATCTCGTAGCAGCGCCCCTCCGGCCCCCTCTCCCTCCCTGAACACACACACACACCGACAGACACATGTCACACATACGGACGGAACGAACACAACCAGAGATGCATGGCAGATCTGCAGTGCTTGCTTCTTGTGGGTGTGCCTGCTTGCTTGTCTGTCTGTCTTAATTACCACAGTAGAGGCTCTCTGCCACACTCACAGCGTCTGCGGCACGAAAGAGCACCAAAACAGCCAACGCCAAGAGGCCAAACAAAAGCATCATCTTCGCAATCAAAGAAGCCTTCAGTCACATCCATCCGGGGTGTTATCGAGCCATCACTAAACACCCCGGATCGCCTCCGAGCTCGCAGCAGAAACGAACGGGACAAAGAGAAGCATCGAGGGATCTGGCGACGCCAGGCTGCCTATTTGTCAAGACTTGATTGCTGTCTGGTCTTTCTCGGGCGCCCGGGCCATCAGCAGCATTTCCGGTGTGCGGGCGACGTCGCTGCGGCGATGCAGGTGTACGGCGAGGCCACAGCGCACAGCCTGGTCATGATGAATGGCCACGTGCCCAAATCGCAGCCTGCCCTGCCCTCAGCCGTCTGTCTGCCCCGCGAAGTGTCTGAGTACGTGCCGGCGGCGGGTGAGATAAAGCAGGGTTCAGGTCTGGAGGGGCTGCGGCACATATTCGGCGACCTGCCGCTTGACGACTTCGAAAAACAGGTGTGTTCGACAAACAAACGGTAGAAGACTTATGACCTGACCGCTGACCACACCTGGTTTGTCTGTCTGTCTAACTCTCTGTGTGTCCGTGGGTGACTGTGTGCGTGTGTGTGTGTTCAGGTGGTTGAGGAGTTTCGCGAGTTCTTCAACGAGTGGGAGGAGTGGGAGGGGGACGAGAGCCCCGCTGGCAAGGTCAGGCTGGAGGGCACCGTTTTCGATGACGACAACTTCCTCCTCAGATTCCTCCAGGGGTATGTGTGTATGTGTGTATGAGGGCATGTCCAGTCCACACCAGCACAACGCACACCATCGATAGAGTGTCTCTATGTGTGTGCGGCGTGTGCAGGAATGGTTGGGACTTGTGCAAGACTGCTCGCGACGTGATGCACCATCTGGAGTGGCGCCGCACGGCCCTGCCCGTGCCGCTGTCCCACGTGCAGCACCTCATGGTCCGGCCGTCCGTCCGTCCGCCCAGAACACACACATATGTCAGTCAGGTCCAATCTGTGCTGCCTGCGCTGTCTTGTGTGGTCTGTCTGTCTGTCTGTGGATCAGCACTCGGGCATCATATACCTTCACGGTCGCGACAGGTGTCGGCGGCCGATCATTGTCATCCGCGCCAAGCAGCTGGGGCAGGTCACGCAGGATGCCGCACTCAAACTCGCCTTCTACTGGCTCGGTAGGCACGCGCACACGCACAGAGGGAGGGAGGGACGGATTGACGGTGTGTGAGGTGTGTGTGTGTCAGAGTATGCCGTCCACAATCTGATGGTCAAGAACAGGGTGGAGCAGTGGAGGGTGATCATCGACCTGCATGAGGTGGGCTACACCGACTTGCCCGTGACGACACTCAAGACGGTCGCATCCCACCTCCAGGTAAGTGATGCGCGTATGTGTGCACACACAGCACAGCACAGCAAGGAATGACAAGCAACGACCAACCGTCCCTCCCTCTGTGTTTTGATGTGTGTGTGTGGTTCGACAGCGTAACTACCGCCAGCGTCTATCGGGCATGTACATCATCTACACGCCGTGGGTCTTCTGGGGCATCTGGCAAATGGTCTCTTACCTGCTACAGGTAAGCTAACACAACACAACCAACCAGTGGAGGGAGGGATGCAGGGAGGGAGGGAGGGATGGACCCATGGGCCAACGTCGTGGTGCATTCAATGCATGTGTGTGTGTGTGCAGGAGACGACCCGGCGGAAGATCAAGATCCTGGCCGAGAGTTTCGCAGATGAGCTGCTCAAGGACATCCACCCATGCCAACTCGAAGGTCAGTGAGTCCGTCCGCTACACCTACCTAACCTACCTAGCCTCACACACGTCAGTCAATCGTGACACAGATAGATGCAATCCTGGCTTTCTGTCGTCCTGTGTGTCTCTCTTCTCTCATTATCCATCACTCATCAGAGCGGTACGGCGGTGTGTGTCCGAACATAGTCGACTACGACAAGCCCATCCTGCCCCCACCACCATTCAGCCAATAGGCAGGCAGTCACTGACACACAGTGGGTGGGAGTCGAGGGACGGGGTGGATGCGATCGATACGGGGGCACTCACTGGCCGGCCGTGGATGGGGGGGATGGGTGGTATTTCTTGGTTCGTCTGTGTGGTTCCTCTCACACTGCAGGCAGCACTCAGTCCAGTCAGTGAGGCTTTTTCGTCGACCAACGAACGAACGGCGCTTTGCGAGAGCAGGCAGGCAGGAAGGTGTGCGTGTGGTGTGGTGTGTGCATTTGAGAGCAGTTTTGGCCCTCGTCTGTCTGTCCACCTGACTGGCTGACAGGCGTGGCGTGGGTGTGTGGAGGCCTGCAGACGGTATCCTATCCTATCCGGTGCAGTCAGTGAGTGTCGGCCGCATTTATGTGCTGTAGATTGATGAGATGGAAACCGCCGGTCGGTTGTATCCATGTGTGGGTGTATGTGTGGATGTGTGGATGTGATGTAGATTACTCCCTTCCTGCTCGTGTTTGTTGATGTGAATGCATTGATTGCATTTGGGAGTCGTAGGGGGTGGGTGGGGCTGGTGTGCGTCGATCGGATCGCTGCAGCTGCCAGGGACACACACACACACACACACACATTACATGCTCACATACACGCCTGCTGTCTGGCTGTCTGTCGGTCTGCCTGTCTGCTCGCTGCTGTCTGGATGAAAGGATGGCCATGCTCAATTAAAGCGGACAAGCGGACAAAAGGATGGCCGGTGGATGGATGGATGGATGGACACACGCATGTGGGTGTGGGTGAATTTTCTGTGTGACGTTGTGTGTGTGTCTTCATGGCTTCTGCTGAGACGGCCGTCACGTCCGACTGATATTCTGCAGATTGCAGCAATATGATATGAGTGGACGTGGACAATCTTCAGAGTATTAGTCTCCTCACCCGGGCCGATCTGGTCACAATGGTCGTGCCATGCATGCTGGCATGTTCCAGTTACTGTCCGCTCGAGAGACGCCGGGCCAAGAACACCTTTCCACCGTCGGTATGGCCGGGCCAGGGCCGCCAGCCCCTCACCCGCCGGGAAGGAGCCGTTTTGTCGCGGGACACACAGCAGCTCCAGGACTTTTGTCCGTGCTGTTCAAGCGGCCAGGGGGGTAAGGTTTTCTGTATATGTGTGTGTCAGAGTGTCAGACTGTCAGAGGCTTCAGTACCATGGCAACTGTGGCCTTGGCTGCATCAGTGTGTCAGAAAACACCCGCTTTGAGTGAGTGATTGGGGAGTGGGGGGCAAGCAGGAGTCTGCCACGCCACGACACGACACGACAGGCCACGCACCACACGACACCACACCACAGATGCACACAAGAGCCCCCTGACTGTCACACGGAGTTGCCTCATGTATGTATCTGTGTGTGTGTGTGTGTGTGTGTACGACTAAGCTGCTCACATTCATCCATCCATCCACTCATCTATATAGGAGACCAAGGGGAGAAAGAGAGAGAAGAAAGAAAGCAACGGAAGAGCAAGGGCGGCCACCCACCCACCCACACGTGGGGGACTCGTGGGGGGGGAGGGAGAGACCGCTCTACGGGCTGGCTGAATGGCTGGGCTGAATGAATGGGTCGCTCGGATAAATCAATACTCGTGTGGCGTGTGTATAAACTCACCCGGCCACCAATCTCTCCAAACGGGCCGGCCGCACCGCGCCGCACCCATCCCGTCCTGTCCCATGTCAGCCAGGCACACTGCATACATTTCATTTCATGTGTGCACACGAAAGGCACGGCACGGCATGGCACGGAATAATGCACCAACACGCTTCCTTTTGTCATGTCGCTGTGTCGAATTGTCTGTCACACGCATGCATGCATGCATGCGTATGCATGCGGGCGGGCATGATAGATATGTTGTGTGCGTATGTGGCTCCCCAGATTGCTCGCGCGTGTCCCTCCCTGCTCTTCGCGGGGTCTTTCTTTCTGCGTGCCCATCCCTTCCCCTGCCCCACAGCACCTCACTAGAGAAATGGACAGAGAAAGAAATAAAGAGACAGGCAGGGGTCTTGACGATAGACAGACATACAGACCCACTAGAGCCACGGGCGTGTACATGTGTGTCTACATGTGTGTGTGTGTATACATATTGATTGCAGAAGGCGAGAAAGAGGGTGGGTGGGTCATGATCATGGTGCACTAGATAGATTGCTGATCTGATGAATGATGCCTGGCTGTGTAGATGGATGGATGGATGGATGGCTGGACGGGTAAGTAAGAAGGGCGGTCCGGTCGGCCATGACCGCAGGCAGGTAAATGATGCGAAGGAAGGAAAGCCATCACAATGAATGCCGACGGCCACACAACATGCATGTATGTAACGTGGAATAGTTCGTGTCACCCCTCCCACCCCACCCCACCCCCCGTCTCTCCTTTACTGCATGCACTACGCCCCGGACGCATACACAGACCAACCAAGAATTGAGCATTCCTCCCCACTCCCACCCTCCACCCACATCCACACCCACACACCCACGACATATCGTCACACAGCACCCACCCCCTACCCTACCCCCCCACACAAACAAAAGTCAGTCAGCTGTCGATTGTCAGCAGTCAGGTATAGAGACAGACAGACAGACAGAAAGACAGACAGAGTATGTATTAGGGAGCATATAGTTGCTTACGTACGCACCGTATGCACCGTATATATGCACTCTCTTCTCTGCTCGCGTGTGTGTGCTGTGCTCCCACACAAGCATTTAGTAGGGCAACACACACACAGACAGAAAGAGAGAGAGATTGACTGACCAACACACTCACACTCACTCACTCACTCCCACCACACCACACACCGCTAGTACGCCATCAAGACAGCAAGAAAACAAGACATCAATCAACACGTCTGTCATCACATAAATGCCATGGGAGGGAGGGAAGGAAGGAGGTACAAGCAAGTGTATTGCGGCACTCACTGACTGTGTTGCTGGTGGTGCATATATTGTGTTGGGTGGAGAGAGAGACACCCCACTGTGTCGACCGACTTGCCCGACCGAGCGGCCAGGCCCATAGACACACACGGACGGGTGGGCAAAGAAAAGCTCCGCAACCGCCCGCATTGTGCACGTCGGCCTTTCTGCCTGCCTGCCTGCCTGCCTGCCCGCCCGCCCCTTTATCTGTCCATCCCTGCCCTGCCCTGCCCTGCACAACCATGGTGCGTGCGGTGCGCTTGACCCCTCCAATAAGTCACATAGCATTGTAAGCATTGATTGCACCACCCCCCCCCACCCCAGATGGTTGGTTGGTCGGCTGGCCGCGAATTACACTACTACGGAGAGACCTCGATGTTTCCCCGGTCCTCCTCGGCCCAGCCGCCCTGATCGTTGTCCTTGACAGGCGAGTCGGCGCACTGCGCCGCCGGCCGGGTCGACGGCGACCGGCCGCTCGACGACGCGGCCGATGGCGGTCTTGGGCTGAGTATGGCGGGCTTGGCGCGGGAGGATGGGGGAAATGACACGGGGGTGCCTTGCAGGGGCCGGGGGGAGAGGGCCACTGACTCGGGGAGGAACTGATGGCCAATCAGGAGACATCCGCAACCCGTGTTCAGTGCGAGCAGGTGCTGGTTGGCAATCAAGCTCTCCTCCTCTTGCTCTGATACTACTGATACTTGTCTGGTTTGGTTCTTTCTGTTTTCTCTGTTCCTCACTTGTTTCCGGCTCCCCAAGCCCACGCCGCCCCGCCTCTCGAGAGCGATGTCCAGATACGTGTCCACCGCACGCTCAGTCACCGGCGTCAAAGACGCCCTCTCGGCCGCAGCAGCAGCCGCTGCAGCCTCCCCATTGCTGCCACCATCGGCGACAGTAGAGGGGCTGAAGGCGCCCCCTCGCACCCCAATCATCAGGGGCGCCCTCCTGCTCGATCGTGAGCTGAAGCTGCCCTCGGTGACCGGTTGGTCGGTCGCCGACCCGTTGCAGTGCTGCGACCGGGATGAGCCTGAGTGAGGGGGGGACGACGGCGAACTCGCCGCTGAAGGGAGGGACGTGGTGGACGGCGGCGGCACCCCGACCGGCAGCGCCCCCTGCCCCACACCGACAGCGTGCCGCTTATTCCTGTCATCCCCCGTGTCTTCGGATGCTGTGAGCGTGGAGAGGTCCTTGGCGGGGTCGGGAGGTCCTCCTCCACGGACGCTCTCGTCGCCACCGGGTGTCCAGGGGGTGCTGGCGCCGCTGTGGTCGCCCATTGGATTTGGCGGCCTGTCGCGCTGCTCGCCGCCCTGCGGCCGCATCTGTGGTGAGGAGGGGGACAGAGGGCCGCGAGATGGAGGCAGGTGGATGGGGGCGCCGGCCTGGAACGGACTCCACCGCCTGCAGACAGAAAGAATCAGCGGGCGTATGTGAGTGGATGTGAGTGGATGTGGTGTGTGATGGATATTCGTGGGTCAAAGTGTGTGTGGTGCATCAATCATACCGACCTTGGGAGGCGGGCGAGGAGTGGGTCGGCTGCGATGGGCGCTTCGAGACTCGCCTGGATCGAGTTGATGTGCTCCTTAATAGCTGAGCGTGACACACACACACACACACATGATTTGACTGACGTGTGTCACGGACCAGCCCTCAGCCCATTCTCCCTCCCAGCCGTCTGCACACACACACATACCGTATCTGAAGTGCTGCAGCTGCGTCGCGTCCGGCGGAGGCGCCTTGTTCTGCAACTTAACCTGAAGGAGGGATGTATGTGTGTGGTGGACCACACACAGACACGGATGCCTCTTAGCTCTCATCCACCCACATTCACACCCACACCCACCCACACGCATCCGTACCTTGACGTTGGATATGGCCCTGAGCCACAGCTTCCGCTCAGACATGGTGCGGGAGGAAAAATGCTGTGCCTCGATGCAGAAACAGCTGACCAAACAAACAGGCGATCCACACAGACACATACAGGTGGTGTTGCGTTGCGGTGTTCCTTCCTCTCGTCTCTCTCCGTGTTACCCACCTGCAGTTGAGCCCCGGCATCTCGCAGGCCAGGGAGTTTTCGTTGAGACTCAGCTCGGCCAGCTGCACCTCACAGTACTCATTCTCGTACAACCTGATGGATGTGCAGCCAGTGGATGGCCACACACACAGCACAGCACAGCACAGCCCGGCCGTTTTGGTCAGTCTTCTGTGAAAGACAGACACACAGGTATGTATGTTATGTAGCGTACCTGACGACGGCGTGCGAGTCCTTGTGTGAGTGTAGTTCACAGTAAATGACCGACACGGTGTTGCGGCTGCCCACGGGGCCGGGCGTCTGGCAACTGACGCCGTCGTCACGCACTAGATAACCCGCCAGCAAACGAGTAGCTGACACAAACACAACACAACACGACAGATAGCAGGGTGGATGGATGGATGGATGGTCTCATTCATTTCGAGTGCAGTGCAGCTTAGCGTACTGGTTGAGGCCTTCTTTTCGATGGGCTCGCATCTGAGCCTGAACCTGGGGAAGAGGCTCTGGGTGATGGTGCGCAGCACGTGGCTGATGTGGGACACCCAGTCGTTGCGGCTGTCTTCGTCACCAGTAGCAAAATAGTAGTTCACCCCTTCACACACACACACACACACACACAATAGACCGACACCGACAATCACAGAGAGTGTTCAGACGTCTGTCTGGGTGTGGACGGACCCACCGTGTGAGAAGAGGGATATTTTGAAGACCCTGAGTTGGCTGAGCAGCTGGTTGCCGCCGCTGGTGTTGGGGTCGGACACCTTGCAGTTGCGCACGACGCAAAAGGGCGAGAAGGCCACGTTGATCTCCCTCTCGCCGGACACGAACCCGAAGCCGTTGATGAACAGGGCAAACTGCACCTGCTCCATGTGCTGCTCAGATGTGATATACCACAGCTGCCCCTCCTTGATCGGCACGCCACGCAGGGGCTGGTCCAGCGCCGCCGAGAAGCAGAGGAAGTCGGGGGCGAGGTGCGGGCGGGACGCCCGGAGGGACTCCTCGACGTCTTGGTCATCGTCTTCATCTCCTGCGAACTCCAGGCCGACGCCTGGCCCGTAGGCTTGAATATTCTTCATCCCACAGAGACACCTGCACTCACACAGACCGGGGGAAGGGGGAGAGGGAGGGAGAGGACGGCAGAGGGAGGGAGGGAGAGGGAGTTAACAGTACAGTAGAAACCGGTAACAAGGGCAGATCTGGGCTCGCTTGTGCTGGCTGCCGTGTTGTGCCGTGTCGTTGCATCTCACTTCCACATCCGTAGCGCGTCGTCCTGTGCGGGTTGGGTTAAGGAGGAACGCTTACGTCCTCACACTGCTATCTGCAGCGCACGAGCCTCATCTGCTCGCCACAATCTGCTCCCAGATTGGTCACCAATACCACTCGGAGCTATTCTTCACCTGAACCCCCTTTGGCCTCCCCGGGAGAGCGGTTTCACGGACCTTCTGGATTTGCGAGCTTGCCCAAGCTCCCTGCTGCCCCTTCAGGCAGAGCACTTTTTCAAGCACGTAAGCTCCTTTTTG